GTCCTTAAGAAGAAGGAAAGAATTGGAATAATTTGTGCTTGCTCTATTTGTAAAACAGCCATGTGAATGTGGATATTCAAATGGTTGCCTCCTTTGTCACCCTGATTGATAAAGTTGCATTCTTTCAATACATTTCCCGGCTCTAAAAGCGGGAGCTTCGTGAGTCGCCCGGATCTGCTTCATATATTCAATTTTTACGTGATTCAATGGCTCACATCAATATAATTCAAGGCATCCTGTTCAGGGATAGAGCAGAAGTTTTTGAAACAAGGCAAAACTTGTTTCTGCCTCTGGGGAGATTATGGTTTGAACCGTCACAATATCTACTCCTATTTATAAATTCCAAAGCCGGTACATATTTAACGACGTCGTTGTCGAGTTGGCAGTCACATGAGCGTTACAAACGCATCCGGTGCCAGTGTGCGTCCCCAAATCTGGATTTTCCAGAGCCATAAAGAGACAAAGAAAAGCGCGACATGAACGGCAGAAATGAGCGAGGAAAGTGGAATTGCAGGGGCGCAACAAAACGACGAAACCAACGAAAATCACGACCATATTTTAATGTTCCAGATTGTTTTTTGGAATATCGATTTTACAAGTTATATCGGAAATAAAACTAAAACTCGGCTTTGGGCTGATTCTATTATATTAAAGCGCATGCAATTGAAGTCCCAAAAAGTACGCTTCAAAACTGCAGCTTGAAGTGGATTTTGCAGAAGCAGGTTCAGCAGAAATGTCCCAAAAAATATGATTGTCCAAAAATGATACAAAAATTGGCGCTTCAATATTACAATGATTTTCGGCAGGCATTTTTTGTTTTTTTGTGCTGATTTAGCCAAAAATTGACCTAAAAAATTGGGTTTTTCGTAAATGAGACAAAAATGTAAGCTTCAATTTTTGTATGAAAGTCATTTTTTTGATTTCATCTGCGGATTCAGCTAAATGTTTGCCACAAAAAAGGGTTTGTTTGTGAATAATACAATAATTTATGTTTCAATGCCCCAATATAACAACGGTTTTATGTGCGAAAAGAGTATTTTTTGATTTTATCAGCGGGTTTATCAACATTTTTTTGTCATAAAAATTTGATTTCCCAAAAAAATACGGCATTAAAGCTGTTTAATGGGCGTCATTTTTTTGTTTGATGTGCAGATTCAGCAAAATGTTTGTCCCGAAAAATGTCTGAAAATGCTACAAAACACTAATTTTTATGGTTTTATGTGCATGTGTAAATGATACAAAAATTGATGTTTCAATGCTTCAATATTACAGAGATTTTTTATGCAAAATAGACTTTTTTGTTTTCGTGTACAGATTGATCAACATTTTTGTCAAAAAAGATTTGATTCTCCCAAAAATACAAAAATTGATGCTTCAATATTACAACGCTTTTATGTGGAAAGAGAGGAATTTTTTTGTGTTTGGATCCAGCAACATTTTCATCGCAAAAAATCTGAATTCGCAAATG